ATTTTTTATAGTAACTCGATTCAAAACTCTACAGATCAATACACAGACCTCAAAGTCCCATCTTTATTCTTCACAAACAAAATTGGTTCTCCCCAAGGTGTCAACTAGGGTGGATAAATTCTTTATCCAACAACTCTTGCAACTCGTACCTTTAATTCCTTTAATTCTACGAGTGCCATTCTATAAGAAGCCTTAGAAATAAGAGCAGTTCTAGGCTCAAACTCAATCTCAAACTCTACTTCTTTCTATGAAAATAAACCTAGCAAACGTTTTGAAAAAACATCAAGAAAATCTTTTACCACTTCAATATCCTTGGCTTCTACTTTAGGCTCTTGCTTAGTATGTTCAACATTTACCAAGTATCCAAGATAACCACCTTTTATCATCTTTCATGCTTTCATTGCTACAATAGTAGAAACAATATTAGCACTTACATGTTGACGATGCTTCCGGCCTCGAACTCTTATGACCTATCTAGGCGTATAAGACCGACTAAACTATAAGCTCGATATCAACTCTATAGCACCCCATGCCCGGAAACATTCATGATGGCATCCCAAGTGAGGAAGATGCTACGATAAACCATAACATACATCTATACAACTCAACAGAACCAAACATGACTTATTTTCATGTCCTCAAAAGGGAACTTGATCCAACAAACATACATGACTTGCACCGCAAAAGGCACCCGACCATGTTGCTTCATGTTCCAAACTATACAAATGTTTGAACTAAATATGGAACAACACTTATCGGCTAATAAAAGGGCAAAAGTTAAGATATACAAAAGGCTCTTAAAGCCAATTATGGCTAACATTCACACTAAACAAAAGGACCCATCATAAGAGTTCATTCAAGTGCTCGGTTGCATCGTCAACACCCACGGACTCTTCACCTACACCATAAGACATAATAAAATGAGCTAACGCCTAATAAACATGGCCATGCATGACATTTCGTAAACTTTTATGATGCATGTAAACACATTTTCCTTAATACGGGTACCCTACTAGACGTCCGATCTAGTCCCTTTTACATTTACTAAAACTATGCCTTTACCAAAACCTTTACCTTTCATGCATATATGATTTCAATGTATTTTTTTAGAAATATGTAAATTTAAGTTGATGACGTAAATGCATAGAGTAATATATTTTAAGGCTTACTTAATCACACCACACCTTATCACATAACGCATAACAATTAATCAAATATTTACTTACCACATTCAATCACATAATGCACATCACATATATGGTCATTGTGGTGAGTTGAACCATGCTTACCTTGATTCCTTAGCACTTCAACAATATTCTCCTTAAGCTAATCAATTCATATAATTAAACAAATCATAATATAACCTCTAAGTAAATCAATAAGTCATCAAAATTCTCATACTCCATAACAGATCCCAAAGTTCATACATCACAAGTCATCATCTTCCAACCATTTCAATAACCAATATTCACAAAACCCCAATTCCAAGCATAACATCACATAATTTTTCAATCAATGAAATCTAACCATTTAAATCTTATTTTTTCATAATAAAACACAAGCCCAAAGCAAGAAAATCATTAATTAATCAATTAAAACCACTTAATCAACTTTTCTCCAAAATTGGGTATCAACCCTAACTTCAACAATATTACTTCAAAAGACAAACCCATCACAAACTAAAATTAAAACACCATATAACATCTAAAAATAACTAGAAATTATGGCAAGAACATACCTTTCTCTTTTGGGTTCGAAATTATCCTTTATAACAATAACTCTTCAAGCTTTAATTTTGCTTAAAACCCACTTTGATCATCATAACTATCTTAATACAAGGTTGTTTAGTGATGAGAACGGTTAGAAAACAAGTGTGGAGAAAAGGGGTGCTTGGTTAGGTTATGGAGAAGAAGAAAAAGGGAGAGAAAAGTGGAAGGATAGAAAAAAAAAAGAATGGAACCCATATGGTTCCAGTGAAGGCATAAAGAAGAGATGCCAAAATTACAACATGGTCCCTATAATTATGTCTAACTTTTAAAGTAGTTCCCTAACTTTTAATAAGACTCATCCATATCCTTGAATCTATTCAATTAGCTTCAAAACATTGTAATTCCCCTCAATCTTTGAGACACATATTATCCAAAACACCAAAACTAAAGGATAAACAATTTAAAAGATGTCATTTATATGCATAATATATATATATACAAAAATCAAAACATACAAGCACAAGCATACACATGCATAATATGGAAAATTTATTTAGAGTGTTACAATTTCCTAATGTGGACCCGTCTAAAATAATTTAAGATTATTTATTTGGATAGTCCAAATAAATTAATTGGACAAAAATGGTTTTGGCCCTATTAGGTTTAATTAAAAGACTTAAGATATTTTGGTGGGAGGATAAACATCAATCTTACTCGGATAAGGATGAATGTTTTAAAGATAACGATTAAAAGTCCATATGTAAAAATAACTCCTTATCCTTGCAGGATAAGGAAGCAATAACCTAAAGTCCTAAAAGGGACTTAATGCCGCCCTTCTCGTTGTCCTTGGAGGGCAAGGAAAATCTTTCCCTATATATATTGGAGGAGAGGTACGACATATAGGATGATGAAGAGAGAAAGAGTATTCGACCAAAAATAAAGAAAAGTGAGGAAAGAATAATTTTGGCCAGCTTTAAAAATAAAATAGGGCACACAACCAAGAGAGAAAAATAAAGAGAAAATAGTTTTCTCCTAAACCCTAGTAAGATATAGTCTTTCCTTATCCTTTAAGGTTGTCACAAAAATTGCCCGAGATTGATTTATATAGGAAATACTAAATTAGAAAAGGCCGAGTTGTCACCCTATTGATTTTGAGTGCTTCTTTATGGATACTTAGAGTGCGTGAATCATCAATAGAGATCGGACACTTGGATAACTTTTTTCAAAAGGAATATAGATCTGCGCTATAAGAGGTAATCCTTAATCCTTGCTTTAAATTCATATGTATGATTAGTAGATTCAATGACTTGATCTTAGGCCTTTAGATAGTGAAATTTTTTTATTTATTCTACACCTCCATAGGATGCATGACCCTTCATTATTTCCTTAGTCCTCCGTAAAATAGTTTATTCAAATTATCTATACAACACGATAAACAATTAAAAATATACAAGAATGGTATGATGAAGTGGTTTACCAAGGTCTTTAGCATGATAAAACCTTCCAAATCATGCTTGCTTAGAAAGCGAATCATGGGACACCATCGGCAATTTTGATAAGTCAAAAGAAATTCACATGGCGGGAAAACTCAATGGTATGATAGGAAAAATCTAGAGTAAAAAAAAACGAAAAAAGAAAAGTCATTATATCCCTAAACACTAATCGACTCGGTGTTGACATGATTAGATTACCTTTAATCAATGGCTATCACATAATGCACGGATAGGCTAGCCTAAAAAAACAAGTAAGCCTTGCACTTCGATTGCAGATGAGAAAGACACCACTAAAATAGAAGAAGAGGTGTGGTTCAAATAGTCGAACTTATACTTCTAACAATGAAAAGCATAATTTAGGAGCCAAGAATTCAGATCAAATAATAACCTTATAATTCCACAGAGTTATCTCACACTCAAAAGATGGATCGTCTTAAATAGTAAGCCTAAATATAACAATTATTAATCCATATCTTGTCTAAAGTTGATTATGTAAAGTAGGACTTAGATGGTCAATCGTATCTTGCCAAAGGAAAAAATTAACATGGCGAGTCACATCTTGCCAAAGTTGATATGAACAAATCATGCTCGGTCAAAATTAATGTGGCCGATTATGTCCTTCCAACTTGACATAGCCAGATCACATCTCTTTAAATTCTAATTTTTGTGGTCAAACACATCTATTCAAATCAACGTGATCAATCATGTTTTCTTTTACTTTTATATAGTCAATTATGTCTTTCAAATTCAACGTGGTCGGTAACGCCCCTTTGAATAAATGTGGTTAGTCATGTTTCCTTTTAATTTGACATGGTTTTTCATATCTCTTAAAGTTAACAAGGTTAGTCATGCCCCTTTAGATCAACATGATCCATCACATTTCCTTTTAATTTAACATAGTCGATCATCCCTTATAAGTCGACGTGGTCGATCGTGCCTCTTCAAATATCGTAATCGATCATATTTTCTTTTAATTTGACATGGTCAGTCATGTCTTCCAAACTCAATGTGATCGGTCGCATCTTTTCAAATCAACGTGATTAGTCACGTTTTCATTTAATTTGACATGGTTAGTCATGTCTCGTAAGTTTGATGTGGTTAGTTACATCCTTTCAAAAAAAAAATATGATGAATCACACATCATTTAAATTGGCATAGTCATCCAAATCTTTCTAAAAATCAATATGGTCCATCATATCCGCCCAAATATTATTTTATTTCGTTAAAAGCTTAGTGTGTAAAGCAAAAAAAAAAAAAAAAATTATTTTTCAATGACTTTACATCATAAGCCTTGTAAAGATGAGGCAATTGTTATCACTCAAATTATTGCCCTTATTATTTGTTACCTCTAGGTTTTTTATTGTAGGTACAAATAAAAATAAAAATGAAATGAGCAATAAGAAGAAGGTGAACAAATTATCAACAAAACAAAATACCAAATAAAAAGGAAAAGAAAAAAATTAATTGGAACAATTAGCTTAGGTTAATTCTAAAATTGAAGGGACGCTAATTGAAAAAAATGAAAAGTTTAGAACTAATGAAAAGGGCCAATTAGGGTGCTATTAAAAAAAAAATCAAAAGTTATGTTTTTAATGAAACTAAGGTGGCATAATTAAAAGAAATCAAAACGAAAAGTACCAATTAATTAAGATTTAGGGGCCCCATTGAAGCAAAAGCTTAAAAATTAAACTCAAATTGATGAATTGCTAAGCATAAAGACCAAAGCCAATTTTGCAAAATAACGTTTCGATAAAAACCCACTCCCATGCAATTTTTATATACCTTCCACTTTTCATTGTTACCTTAAAGAGCTAGCAGACCTCTCCCTATCTCTATTGTAAGTCCTTCTCGTAAGACCTCCTCTCTCACAATAGCAACACCCACAACATAACCATCTCCATCACCTCTCCTCCACACGAGCTCACGCTAGCCCCCCATTTTTCTCACCCCTTCCTCGCCTTAACCTTGCCTATAACCCAAATAACACAACTTATTTCTAGCTTTCCTCCTCTTTGCATAAGCAGCTTGTGTGCCTTAGGCCTTCCACATGTCCCTTTACACTCTCCAACACACATACCGCGGACACTTTTGCATGCTTTAGCTCGAGCACCAAAGTGCCCTCCTTTCTTGCCCGTAGCCATCCTTTCAAGCAACCTCGCCATAGCCTCTATAGCTAACCTCGCTCATGCCTTATAGCTCCTCATGTAACCATCACAGTGAGCCTTCCTCACCCATAGCCATCCCTATAAGTAGCTCTATACAGCTCCAATAACTCACTCACTCATGATAGCCCAACCCATCGACCTTTCTCACCTAAGCACTAGTAGCCTTTTACAGCTTCAAGCAACCTTCCTCGTGCATAGTAGGTCCAAGTAACCTTCCTTGTGTAAAACGACTCCATCAACCTTCCTCGTAGCCAATAACCCTCGTATGCTAGTGCCTTTCATAACCCTTATAACCAGTCGACCCCTTAGTAAGCCAAGCGACCTTGAGTAAGCAAGAGGCAACCTTTTTCTCCTCATTTGGTCAAATGGTAGCTAACCAATCCCTTTTAAGAAAGCAAAAAAGAGGAACATAAAAAGAATGAAAATTTTTTCTTGGTTAGTTTATTTTGATAGGGAAATACAAGAATAAAGGTCTCCTTGAGTTTTAGGAAACTTTACAAAGGTTTAGTAACAATATAAATTTATAACCTCATTTTTAGTAGTCGTTACTTTGAGGGATCCACATCACATTTTGCAAACAAGCAGTTGCTCTCCTTTCCCGAGTAGAACGGACTTCAAGTTAGACATTGAAATTATAAAATTTTTGATTAAAATTTCAAAACCGTTGCAATATTTAAAAACATAAGGGTTAAGATTGATTGGATTATTCAAAAATTTGAATGAAACTATAAATTGGGGTAAACATTGTTGTAATGTCCATTGAAGGACAAACTATACTATTTTACTCCAACATGTTTAAATTTGAAGTTTGTCTCATTTTGAGGGTTGATTGATTAACTATGTCTAATTGTGTGAATGAAAATGTTGCATTTTTTTTTTAAATATTCAAGGTTTAAATGTGGATTAAAGTAAGCATTGTTGTAATGGCCATTAAAGGACAAACTACACTATTTACTACTTTACACCTATACATCTAAATGAAATGTTTGTGCTTGTTCTTATGGTTGATTGATTAAATATATCTTATTGTAATCTATAAATGAAGCCACTCGGTGGTTTTGGAATCATTTTTTATGTTTCTTGTATCTGTTTCCTATTTTATATTTTCTATGTTTGTTCCTATTTTTTGTTTCCTTTTGCTTAATTTTGAATTATGAAAATGAAGCAGCTAAGTGGCTTCCCACTTATGTGATGAAGCCTTTGGTGGTTTTGGAATCATTTTGTCTTTTTTAACCTATTTCTAGTTTCATGTTTCCTATTTTTGGTTCCAATTTCCTATTCATATTTCTATTTTCTTTTTATTTAATGTTGAATTGCTAAAACGAAGTCACCAATGACTTTCCACTTATGTCACGAAGTTACTAGTGGTTTTGAAATAATTTTTATTCAATACTTGCTTGTCCGAAACAAAGCCGTTAGTGGCTTCTAACTTATATGACAAAGTTGTTAGTGGCTTCCAAAATAATTATTACTTATTGCTTGAGTTAAATAGAGTGGCCGGTGGCTTTTCACTTGTGCGAAAAAGTTATCGATAACCTCTCAAACTCTTGACTCGAAGCCATCGATGGCTTTCTATTTGTATGAGTGAAGTCATTGATGACTCACTATTCATGCTAATAAAAGGTTATCTATCTTTAAAAATTGACTTATTTATTGATAATATGTCTTTTTCACTAATGACTACTTAAAATTCTAACTTTCCCCATCTTTCTTCTTTTGGGTAGGGGATATTGACCTTGGATCGACCTAAATCTCCAAACTATCCTGTTTTACCCTCAAATTATCTTATTCTATATTTTTTTTAAAAATAAACTCATTTAAATAGGTATGAAAGAAAAACACAATAAAAACTAGACTTTTATCTTCCTAGGTACACAATGAAGCCTACCTTAAGTAGGATGGGATGGTGGTAATATTATATCTTCTCCATATATAATTGACGTCTTACCTAGATATTCATATAGACTAGTATATTTAGAGTTTTTTAGTTTTCCGTGATTAGCTATGTGGTGACTCCATGTCCCGCCCTCTCGTGGGGGCCAATGTCGATAGGTTTAATTTAGAGTTATGATGAAGTAAAATAAAACGATGAAAATTAAAGAAAGATGGAAGGCTAGGATTAAAACAAATGATCGACTAGGATTAATTGCAAAATAAAAGGTAGATATTAAACCAAATGAAGGCTAAGATCAATTCAAATAAGGAAAAGGTCTACCTAAGCTCACCTATAAATATAGGTAGAAAATATGGAGAAATATGTTGGAAAATTGGAAAATCCAAGAGAAGCTCTTGTAAAATTTCCATAAAAAACCACCTAAATTTTCACTCGAACACTTAAACTCACCCTAAAACACCTTGTTAAGCCTAGAATTTAAGTTGGAACATTAAAATTTCAAGGAGGAAAAAAAGGACGCTTGGTCGAAAGTTTAGAGGAAAAAAGAGAAGGAAAATTTTCAAAGCAATCCAATCTTTCAAGGGTTAATTTGGAGCTTTAGATGTAAGTTAATCTCACGTACATCACAAAGACATGCTATCTAATGTTAATTGTTGATTTTGTACCCTTAATTTAGGCTTAATTGAGTTAATTTCACAAATTAGGGTTCGGATTCTTAGCTTTGAAAAATTAAGAAAAATGATTTTGACATGGAAATTCAAGTCATTAATGTTTCAATATGTTAATTGAGCATGAAATTCAGCAAGAAAAAATGAAAATTCCTTGACCTCTTTATATTGAACGTTTCAACCTTAATAATGAATTTAAGGGGTTTTGATGCTTTTATTTTTTTGATATTTAATTAATTAATTACCTACCAGTTGAAGTATAAGATGATTTTCTAGCATTAAAAATTGCATTGAAATAAAAAATTCATCTAGTTCGACTTAGGTGAGATTTCGGCCTAAGTGGGAAAAATTATGATTTTTAGACACTTTTTGTGTTTGAATGTTTAATTGATAATTTTTTGATGAATTAATTGTAATATTTTTTTTCAAAGTGTGAGATTTGATGTTTGTGACATCATGGTGATTGGTTATTGAAGTTGTGAAATGGTTAAATGCTTGGTGCCATGTATCATTATTTGATCGATAATGTGAAAGATGACATTTTGTGATGACCCATATCGATGGTTATGATTGAATTGTGCATCATGAATAAGTTGATATCAATTGCAAGGTAATGTGATTATGGTGTATTTCAATTTGTTGTAGTATGTTATGTCATGGCATAAATATACGTTGTGTATGGCATGCATTACATGATTCATGAGCATTATTCATTTACATTAAATGCAAGTGCATGCAAATTCATTGGAAACTTTAAAGTCATGAAAAGGATTTCCTTCATGGTGTTTCCCAAGCCAATTGAAAACTACTTCATGGTTTACAAAGTTTTTCATGGCTTTTCATGGTTTATGGATTTCATGGTTTCCCTAGGTTGAATCAATGCGGATGTTCACTTTCGGATACTCGATAAGTTTATGTTGGTACGGACGTGTACTTTCGGATGCCTTACACTAGGTAGGTGTAGATATATACCTTTAAATGCTCGATAGATGGTTGGTCGGGTATAGATGTGTACTTTTAGACACTCGATTGGGCATGTTAGGTCTTCTGCTAGGCCATTCACACGCCGGGTGAACGATAGGCCGTGCATGCCTTACTCATGCTAGGCAAGTTAAGCATCCTACTAGGCCGGTAGCACATTAGATGTGTGACAAGCATAGCGTGAGGCCAAGCTAGCCATGTGGTGGGTGCTCGATAGGCCGGGCATGCCACGCTCACACTAGGCCTACTAGCCAAGCCACTCGAGTTTTGGGCACTCGACGAGTAAGACATGGCTCGCACATGCCGGACCATCTTGCTAGGCAAGTCACATACAGGGCGTGCATCATGCCGGGTGTGCCTCGTGTGCACTCGGCCAATTAGGCAAGCAAGATGCACGATCGGTACATGACATAGTAAGCCTTCGCTAGGCGCACGCTAGGCCCATGGCAAGGCTAAGACATGCCTTTCATATGTCCAAGTACATATTGGGCACACGAAATGGTAGGCATGCATTGGGTGCATGCTAGGCCTATGGCTAGGTCAAGATGTGCCTTGCATATGTCGGGCATGTATAAGGGTAAGGCTTACCCAAGTCGGGCATGCAAACACACCTGGAGGCTAGAAACAAGGCATGTATTGAGCCTATTTATGCTAGACTAGTATTAGGCTTTATCTAGTGGACGACTGGACCAATGTAGGGCACTAGCCAATTGACAACCATAGCCAATCCTAGGCTAGTCGTGTGCAAGCACACTAAGCTAGTAGCACCTATTGGCCGATGCTAGGCACTCGGCAGCTAAGGTGTGGCGACTTATTAGCCTTCTAGGCCCAATAGCCCATCAACCCAAAATGAACCCAAGGCTTGAAAAGTTTTAAAATCTAAAACTAGAGAAATTTTAATATTTTTACAAAATGATGAAAATATAGATTTATAAGTATGATAAAATGTGTTTCATTAGTATGCCATGCGTCAATTTGATTGAAGCATGATCGATTGACATGGATGAGTCCACCTATTTTTTGAGAATATATATTCATAATTTTTCATTAAACTAGGCCAAGCATGTCCTACCTTCTCTTCTCATCTTGATATATTTCTCTTCTCATCTTACTTTTTTTGAATGTAACTCAAGGATTCTTATTCAAATAAATGTAAAAGTAAAAGATAGGATATTCGAATAGATGCAAGGAGAAGAGACTAAGAAGTGAACACAATCTTGAAGAATTTATAATAATTTTTCACCTAGATACTTGACCCACTAGTCTCCGTATGGCTCGAGGGGCTAGCGATAAAGATTCATGACAATTCATTTATCATTGAGTCTTGCAAGAAATGTATGTATTTTTTATGCAATTGATAGTATGTATGATAGGATTAAAGTGATTGATTACTAGTATGAAAGATAGGATGTGAGCTATCATATTAAATCCTT